TTTAACTAGACTAGGCGTTGAAAGATTTTTAATAAAGATAAAGGAATGTTATCTGGACCTGCAGCTGCACTTTTGCAACAGTACACTGATAATTCTTGTAATGTAAACGGCATATTAAGAGAAATTTTATCTGATTTTCTGCTGTCAGATAAACTGGAGTTTAGATTAGAAGACATGGGAAACTGCCAATTTGAAGTCTATTTGTTACTTTCTCATGAAAAATTTCACCCAAGATATCAACAATTTGTTGACTACGAGTGACTATGCTGTTTTGAGTAACTATGGCAGATATTTTTTAATAAGTTTTCTTTTCTGTCATGTGTTTAATTTTTTCCAAATTTTGCTAGAAGGGTCTTATCAAACCTCTACTATCCTAACTGCAATCTTTCCTTCAATCTCCGCTACAGGATGATTAAATTATATGTATGGTCCATATTGTTACATGGCATAGAATAATGGACATTAAGCGTACCTTTCATTGATAAGTTGGACGCCTTCGAAATGTGGACGTTACGAAGAATGTTCCGCATACCATGGACAGATAGGGTGAGAAACGAGAAAGTCTTTAAGAAAGGCAAATACTAAGAGAGAACTACTTATTTTGATCGTACGAAAAATTGGATACCTCGGCCATATTCTGAGAGAAAAAAAATACGCAATCCCTCAACTAATCGTTCAGGTAAAGATTGAAGGCAAAAAAGGAGTAGGTCGTAAACAAATGTCGTGGCTACGGAACATAAATAACTTGGCAGGCATAACACTGGCGATCTTTTGCATGCCGCAAAAGACAGACGTCTGGTCTTAAGATAATTCGCCAACGCACTATAGGTGCACGGCACTCTAAGAAGAAGAAGCTAGAAAAAGTGTCAGTTTTTTTTGCTTTGTTAAATAACATACTTAGATTTGACTCGCAGTTTTTTTAAGGTAATTAAATTTGTTTTTAGTATTGTCTCTACGGTATTTGTTTAATGCTGCCTTACTTTGTTGTATAGCCAGAGAGCATCTTTCATTCCACCAAGATGTTGTTTTACGAGACGAAAAAATTGCTATTTGTCCAATATTTGCATCAGCAGCGGAGATTATACAGTTATTGAAAACGTCAATATTTTCATTTGCATCCTCTGATAACTACAGCTGATTTAGTTTGCTTTCAGTATATAATCGAAAGGCATCCCAGTTGGAATTAAAATGTTCTATTTTTTAAAAGAATCAAAACGTTTTGCAGATTTTTCAGATATTAAAATAGGAAAATGATTACTGTCATCATCATTCAGCCCATACTCGTCCACTGCTGAACATAGGCCTCCCGTAGTTCACCCCACAAATTTCTGTCCTGAGCCGCCTGCATCCAATTTTGATGTGTCCGTTTCAGGTCATCCGTCCATGTTGTTGGTGGTCGTCCTCTATTCCTAAAGGCATCTTGTCTGGGTCTCCACTCAAGAATGCGTTTTGTCCATCTGCCGTCTTTCGTTCTCGCGACGTGCCCTGCCCAGTTCCATTTTAAGGTTGATATTCTTTTGATTGCGTCGGTTACTCCCGATGTACGGCGCAATTCTGTATTGGGTATTCTGTGTCTCAGGGTTAATCCCAACATGGACCGTTCCATTGCCCTCTGTGTTGTTCGAATTTTGTTTGCGGACGTCTTAGTAAGTGTTAGCGTCTCCGCACCATAGGTTAGAACCGGCAGCACACATTGATCGAAGACTTTTCTCTTCAAGCAGATGGGAAGAGCTGATTGGAAAACATCTCTTAGCTTTCCATAAGCTGCCCATGTCAACCCTATTCTACGTATTAGTTCATTGGTCTGGTTATCTCTACTTAAGCGAATTTCGTGTCCCAGATATTTGTATGCTAATGTTTGTTCTATACTTGTTCCAGCTATGTTGATGTTCTCACTCAGAACAAGGTTTGTCATCACTTGTGTTTTTGAGTTATTGATCTTTAAACCCACTTGTGTAGAGGCATGGTAGAGTCTTTCGCACATTTCGATGGCATGATCTATGCGGTCTGTTATCAGGACTATATCGTCCGCGAACCTGAGGTGACTAAGCTGCTCTCCATTTATGTTTATTCCCTTTTCGTCTAGGTTTGCACGCCCACACATGTATTCCACTAATGTTGTAAACAGTTTTTTTGAAATGGTGTCGCCCTGGCGAACTCCACGATGAATGTTGAACTTGTGCGTATCTTCATGGAGTCTGACGCATGCCGTGGCATTATCATAGATATTTTTGATGACAGTGGTGTAGCGGTGATCTATTCGGCACTCTTTTAAAGCTTCTAGCATTTTCTGGTGGTTTACTGTGTCGAATGATTTCTCATAATCCACAAATATTAGGTCGAGGGGTTTATTGTACTCTATACATTTTTCGATGAGGCTTTTAATAACTTGTAGATGGTCGTTTGTGCCGAAGCCTGACCTGAATCCTGCCTGTTCGCATGATTGGTAAAAGTCCATTTTGTTCGAAAGTCTGTTTGTTATGACTTTCGTAAAAAGCTTGTATATGTGTGAGATGAGGCTGATTGGTCTATAGTTTACGAGATTTGTTAAATCTCCTTTCTTAAACATTAGAATGATCACTGCATTTTGCCATTGTGATGGTGTTGTTCCTCTTTCAAGGCATTCTGTGAAAAGTATGGAAAGCATTTGTATCAGTTTCTCGCCTCCTAATTGTATGGCTTCGGCAACGACCCCGTCGTCGCCAGTGACTTATTATTTTTCATTTGTAGGCGAGCTTTTTTGATTTCATCAACAGTAATATCTGGTATGTCTTCCGAGCCCTGGTTTAGAACCTTTGGTATGTTGTCAGTTGGAACATTTTCTTCTGTTTTGCTGTAAAGTTCGCTATAAAATTGTCCGACAGTTTGTAAAATTTCCTGTTTATCTGTTATTATTTCGCCCTTTGTGTTTTTCAGTTTGTAAATATTTTTCTTTCCTATTTGCTGTTTCCTTCAGAAGACTTTTAAACTTTTGTTCTCTTCTATGACTTTTGATATCTCTCTGGTGTTGTAGTCTCTGATATCTTTTCTGATGTTCTTAGTGATTTGTTTGTTTAGTTGTCTCATTTTTGTTAGATTGGTTCTGTATTTATCTGTTAGTTGTCTTCTTTCCTCTAATAGAGTTTTCGTGCTTAGACTTAGTTTTTCTTCGTCTTTTTGGTTTTTTTGGCAACATTTTTCTTGTGCTTGTTTCAGAGCTTTGACTATTTTCTGGTTTAGTCGTTCGATGTTTATGTTTTCTGTTTCTTCGTGTTGTAATTTTTCTTCGACCGTACGTTCAAACAGTTTTGCATTTTCAGGTGGTACCCATCTTCTAACATTTGGTTTAGGAACAAGCTTCATTATTTCTTTTTTAACATTAAGCATTACTTTTGTTCTTATCATCCTATGGTCGCTGCCAGCAGAGAACTTGTTGAGTACTTCCACGTCTTGTACTATATATTTTTTATCTGTAATTATAAAGTATTATAAAGTCGATTTCGTTTTTGACGGCGCCATCAGGACTTATCCAAGTCCATTTGTTTTGGGGTTTCTTTTTAAAGAAAGAGTTCATTTGAAACATGCATTGATGATGTAGAAAGTTTAAAAGCATGTCCCCTCTTGCGTTTCTTGCCCCGTATCCGTACTTTCCTAACGCGATCTCCGCTTGGTCTTGTTTGAATCCTAATTTTGCGTTGAAGTCGCCCATGAGAACAGTATAGTGTGTTCGTGTTCTTTGTTATGCCTCTGCTACATCCTCATAGAATTTTTCAACTTCTTCATCTGTGTGTCCAGTTGTCGGGGCGTAGACCTGTATAACTTTTAAACTATAACGAGAGTTTAGTTTTAATATCAATAGGATGACTCTCGTGCTTATGGTCTCGATTTTCGTTATGTTGGGTATGTGTTTTTTATGTACAATGATCCCGATTCCACCGCTGGATGAATGTTCCTCTCCTCTGTAGTGGAACAGGTGTCCTGATTTCAATGTTTGTTGTTCTTCTCCTCTCCTTCTAATTTCACTAAGTCCCATTACATCCCATTTTTATTGTTTTTAATTTGTTTTCCAGTTCTATTAGTTTATGATCGGTTGAGAGGGTTCTTATATTTTAGGATGCAAGATGCAGTATTTTTGTGCAGTTTAGCCGTCTTGAGTGGTAGCCTGGTCTATCCCGGGTATTCTTAGCACCCTCTGCTCTTAATCTTTTTAAAGCTCTTGGCACTAAATTAAATCTATTGAGGCGGATCTACCAGTAGCAATATTAAAATAAGTTTTGGAATGATCATTCATCACGAAAGTATCGGTAATATTCAATACATTTTCGACAGTCCTTCCTTGGTCGAAGGTTTTTTCAGAACCCCACAATGGATTGTGGTCATTGAAATCTCCAACAAGAACGAAAGGTGAAGGAAGTTGGTATTTGGGGCACCAAATCGGCTTCGGATAAACTATAATTTGGAGGAATATAAATACTACAAACTGAAATATTATTTGGACACCCAATGTTAACGGCGATAGCTTCTAGATTTGTGTAAATGGGAAGATGTGCGGAGTAGAGATCATTGGATACGAATATGGATGTTCCACCGCTAATTTGAAATTCGTTTCTTGAAAACATACTATGTCGGCAGTAGTATCAAGGATTAACTTTACTTTTGAAGGTGTTTAAGTCTAGGGTAAAACACAATTTCATTGAATTAGATTAAAATTTTTTTAAATGAGAATTTTTGGGAATGTTGGGAGGTCAGACTGAAAATATTTTATAAGTTTTTTGATATTATCGTAAATCCGTACTTTAGTGATCTATCTGTTAGAAAAGGATAAACATTAATCATGTCAGAGAGTAATGATTTTATGTTATGTGTAAACTGTTGTGCTTCAGATAACAGATTGCTACTACCGTAACTATTTTTAAGAAAAGTTATGAAATTGTCTGCAGAAGTGAAAAAAGAGTGTGATGACTTACTAAAACATTCGCTCTTGAATATCTAAATAAGTACTAAATAAACCTTCTCCTTACCTACAATATTTTTTATGTCAATAGGCTCATTATGAGATATTTCTTCGATTAAATATTTATTTAACTGCGTTCCGCAATCAGCTATGGTTTGGAACATGGCCCTCATTTTACCGGAAGTGAACGTTGGCGTAAATTTCGTCCGTAGGTTTCTCCACTTCTTTCCTCCAATTGCAAAAAGATGTGCACCTAAAAGAGTTAATAAAATATTTATAATATAAGTGTGTCTACTTCAAATCAGTTTTAGCTTATATTGCGAGCAGTTCTGTACTGAATAGGAGTTATTTAGTATTCCACAGAAGAAGATGAAATAAAAAATTAAAAATCCTACCAACGGCTGATAGAGAACGTTATAATTATGTACCACAGTTTTTTATTATTTATAAAATTGAAAACATGTGATATATGTTGTGTTATAGGACATTCGATAATCTTTTCACACAGTGAGATCAAGAATTGGATCCACTGGAAATGTTGGGTGCAAAAATAAGACCACATTTTCTCTATATTCTTCTCGCTTTTTATAACTAATAAACTTTTTAATGTTACTTAATGTTACTTACTGATTGGTTCATCTTTTTCATTCACATAAAGTCCCCTATCGACGAAATGATTGAAATCTTTAGTTAAAATAAGTTTTACAATATCTAAATCCAGTGGCATGTAGACTGGAGAAACCATATTAAATAATCCAAGATGTTTCCATCCTAAAACAGAAATTGAGATACAAAACTTTAATATTAAAACTTAGTTCACTAACATACACACACCACATACAGGATGGTGAATCGTCAAACGGGCAATATAAATCTCTTTTAAATAATTGATGGATTCGACCGTTACTTGATGGAAATTCATTTTATGTAACAATAAAACACTGAAAACTTTGTTTTCAAACTTCCACAAAATTTATTTTAAATCTTATCACTACAGCTGTTTCGGCTGATTGGCTTGCTCAAGTGATCCATTTTTGGCTTGGGTTTACAAATTTATAGTCTCTAATGAAATAGGTTGAGGAGGGGAGAACGTTTATCTCAAGTTGGTCATTCAGAATTATATCTGTGTTTTTTAATTTGTTGATTTCCATAGATTCTAACAAAGATAGCTTAAGGCCTTTATTTTGAATGTGAAGAATTTTAAATTTGTCATTAAAAGAATGATTATGATCTAGAAGGTGAAGTGCGTATGTCGAATCTGTTTTTCTATTCTTGAAAGCCCTTTTATGTTCTGCTATTCGTTTATCAAAGTTTCTACCAGTTTGACCGATGTAAGTTTTTGGCAGTCGCCACATTGAAGTTTGTACACACCACTATTTAAGTGTTTTTTATTTTGGCTCTTGTTATTTTTAATATATTTGCCTAGGTTGTTATTTGTTCGGAAAGCTGGTGTTATTCCTTTCTTTTTCATGTGTTTGGCAATTTTTGTTGTTATTTTGCCTGTATATGTGCCCGGGGTGTAGAGTTGTGTTATAGAGGTAGTACCCTTTATCGAAACGACCACATCGAGCGTCATAGACGGGAGATGGTTCTTGATAACTGGTCCTCATAAGACAACTAACCCTCACTTATGGCTCCACGTGCCACACCCCGGGCAACTGCATTGGTCTGCAGGCTAAACTAAGTGAGGGTAGCCAGATATGGCGACAATTCCACCGAGCGATTGCCGGTATAAGCAATCCCCCACTTACCTACCAACGGCTTCGGGCGGATGAGTTGGTAAGTGGCAGGGCACTCTTTTGTCCTGAGATAGAGAAATCTGTCTCGAAGGCGGATGAATCAAAGAATGGTCAACGGCATAAGGATACAGAAGGCAACAGAAAACCACTGTATTAATGATCTTTAAGATTCCCTAGTATAATCATGATGGCAAATGTCACATCAATCACTCATGTTACTGATCATGGACCTCGGAACCCAAGATCCGGCAGGAGAGGAAAACCACAGACAGACCATAGGGCCTCTCAGGTCGTGAACCAGCGAAATCCCTGTGTAAGTAATATCAATCACCTTAAGATATTAAGAATAGCGACGTGGAATGTAAGAAGCCTCTTTGCAGCAGGTAAATTAAATAATGTAGCCCTTGAAATGGAAAACCTTAAAATTGATGTCCTAGGTATAAGTGATGTACAGTGGCCAGGATCAGGAAAATGCACGAATAACAGTGGAACACTTTATTATTCAGGCACCATCAGTTCAACTTATCGTTACGGTGTCGCTGTCTTGGTATCAAAGAAAATCATTAACTGTGTAACAAGCTTTACTCCCTTCTCTGATAGAATAATGACACTACAACTTCAGTCAAATAAACAAATTATAAATATTATACAAGTATATGCTCCTACGGCTGATAATGATGAAATTGAAGATGATGATGAAATTGAAAGTTTCTATTACGATCTGGAACAAATTCTAAAATCAATGAAGAAACATCATACTACAGTAGTAATGGGCGATTTTAATGCCAAAATTGGACATGGATGTGTGGACGGTTATGTGGGTGACTATGGATTAGGAGAACGAAACGAACGTGGAGACCGTATGGTACAATTTTGTCAAGCGGAGGAGTTAGTAGTTGCTAATACTCTTTTCAAGTTACCTAATAGACGACTGTACACATGGAAATCTCCGAGTGACACCAAAGATAGAATAGTCAGAAACCAAATTGACTTTGTCCTTGTTAGTCAAAGATTCCGCAACTCTATACTCTCAGCTATACTCTCAGCTAAAACCTACCCAGGAGCAGATATAGGCTCGGATCACAATCCTGTAGTAGTCACATTAAGAATAAAACTAAAGATCATTAAAAAACACATACAGAAACAAATTGACGTGAGTAGACTGAATGAACAACATATAAAAGAGAAAACAATAGTGAACATCAAAGAAAATTTACAAAATATAGAGAAACTGAATAGGAATACTGATAACATAGACCAAAAATGGAAGAATATTAAACATGCCGTAATGTTGGCAGGGAGAGAAAATTTACCACCGAAAGAAAGGAAACTTAAAGAATGGATGAATGAGGAAATACTACAGTTCATGCGTGAAAGAAGGGTACACAAAATAAATAATCCAATAAGATACAAAGAAACAGATAAACTGATAAAAAAGAAAATAAGAGAAGCTAGAGAAAGATGGCTAAGTGAGCAATGCCAGGAACTGGAACAATTGGAGCAAAAATATGACTTTTTTAATGTACACGAAAAGATTAAAGAAGTGACAGGAAGGAGAAGAACAACACAGACAGGACAGATCAAAGATACAGATGGTATAATTATAACAGATTTACAACAAAAAATGAACCGATGGATAGAATACATATCACAACTGTTTGATGACAAAGATAGACAAGAAATCTCAAACGAATATACAGATGATACAGGGCCTGATATAATCAGAGAAGAAATAGAATATGCAATCAAACAAGCAAAAAGTGGTAAGGCTCCCGGTCCTGATGAAATTCCCGTAGAACTGCTCAAATTTATGGACGATGAATCTATTAAAATACTCCTAGATCTATTTAACACAATATATAGAACTGGAATAATACCTAGGGAATGGCTCCGTTCGACCTTTATACTACTGCCAAAAAAGGCAAATACAAAGGAATGCAACGAATATCGTACGATAGCTTTGATGAGTCATGCTCTAAAACTGTTCTTAAAAATAATCCATAATAGGATCTATAGGAAATTAGACGTAGACATCAGTAACACTCAGATGGGATTCAGAAAAGGGCTGGGTACAAGGGAGGTACAAGGGAGGCTCACAGAGATGCTTAGACATGAATCAAGAAATTTACGCCTGCTTTATTGATTTCGAAAAGGCCTTTGAAAAGTACAACATGAACCACTAAGACAAGTTCTAATAAAGAAAAATATAGACAGCCGAGAAATTCGAATTATATGCAATCTATATTGGAATCAAACAGCAAATGTCAAGGTTGAGAGCAGACTAACAGAAGAAATTCAAATCCGTCGAGGAGTCCGGCAGGGATGTATCTTATCGCCACTTTTATTTAATCTGTATAGTGAAGCTATCTGTGAACAAGCACTCGAGGAAGAAGATCTTGGTCTGATAATAAATGGTGAGACGATCAACAATATAAGATATGCTGACGATACAGTTCTCCTAACGGGAACGCTAGTAGAACTACAACATCTCGTTCAAAGTCTCAATATATACTGTAACAGTTACGGCTTAAAAATTAATTTGAAAAAAACTAAATTTATGGTAATCACGAAATTAGAGAACATCAGAGCTAATCTTGTAATAGACAATACAACGATTGAGCGTGTGCCCTGTTATAAATATCTAGGTGCTTGGATCACAGACGATACTGATCAAACAAAAGAGATTAGATGTAGAATAGAAATCGCTAGATCAGTCTTTAATAGATTGCGCAAACTCTTTTGCAATCGTGATATCAATATAAAGTTACGAATACGAATGCTGCGGTGTTATGTCTTTTCTACCCTGTTATATGGAGTTGAGGCTTGGACACTAAAACAGTTGTCCATAAAAAACATCGAAGCTTTCGAGATGTGGTGCTATAGGCGCATTCTCAGAATATCATGGATGGACCGCGTCACTAACACGCAAGTACTCCAAACTTTAGACAAAAGATGCGAAATTCTAAATGAAATAAAAACTAGAAAGATGGAATACTTGGGGCACATTGTGAGAGGTGAAAAGTACGAACTTTTAAGAAACGTCATGCAGGGCAAAATTAAGGGCAAAAGAAGTGTGGGAAGAAGAAAAATATCGTGGCTTCGTAATCTACGTGAATGGTTCGGGTGTAGTTCGATTGAACTTTTTAGGCGCAGAAAGCAAATCGAGCAGAAGGTACTGGGTTTTTTCTCTGGTGGTGGAGATACTAATTTCAGGGCTTTCTTGTGTAGTTTTTGATTTATAAATCAGGCCACACGTGGTGCAAGAATATGTATGACATGTTGCGTTTGGTCATATTGATGTTTCTGATATTTGACAATATTTGAATTGCGAAAATTTTTATTTTGTGATTTATTGTTTAAAAAACTATAAAGTTGATTAAAAAATGTATTCAGTTTTGGAGAAAGTAGCAATAATAGAATTTAATAATAACAATTATTAATTATTTTAAATAACTATTAAATATTAATTTTTATTAATTTATTACTAAGCAATAACAAAATTATTCAAACGATAGTGCGCGAATTGTCAGTTGTTTATTTAGCGTAAGATATTCCAATACATCAATTCTAGGTCATTCAACAATTCAAAGAATTTTACACAATTTTAAAAATACTGGGATCGGGACGATGATTTCAAATTTTACCTGTACAAACAATATTGTTGAGGTTCCAAGCAATTTAGAAAATCAAAATGAAATAGATGTATTAACACCAGTTGAAGAAAATCCTAGAATAAGTTTTCAAACTTCAAACATCAAGAGCTAAAAGAAGGAGACGCTGAAGACGCTGAAGACGGAGAGAAAGAGACGCGAACGACGAGCGGAATTGTGTGAATTATGAAATTTTAGGGAGGGCTAAATGCAGACAGACAATTTTTGAAAAACATTTTGTTTCGTGATGAATGTACATTTACATTAAATACTGAACCAAATGTTCAAAATTATAGGATTTGGTCGACAAGAATGCCTGAGGATATTATTAAAAGCCATATCCAATATCGTCGAAAAATAAATGTCTGGTTAGAAATATTTA